CATTTTTAGGAAAAGCAAGTTTCAGTCTCTTTTTCCAGACATGTCAGTGGAAATAAAAAGCAATAAAATCTATTATGTGGTTGCTGCAGGATAAAGAACGAGCTAATGAGATTTGAGGGGGTCCTTTTATATAGCCATAGTTTTTCTTTCTTTACAGCACACAATGGTAGGTAGTCCACTAATGAGAAGGTCAGTGGTTTGATCTCCAGCATCCTCAGCCTGCATGTTCAAGTAACCACGGGCAACATCCTAAACTATGTGATGGATGTAGTTTGGAGAGTAAAGTACGGTGGCCCTGAGAGGCCAAACGGACTGCAACTTCAGAAAACAGCATTTTTTTCTTTTTGCAGCATTTTTCTTTTTGCAAGTGTTTTCTGAAGTTGCAGTCCGTTTGGCCTCTCAGGGCCACCGTAGTAAAGCACTTTAAGCGGTCAATAAGGACAGAAGAGGCTTTCTATAAGTGCGGTTCGTTTACGGATTACTTCTGAATTCATGCAATACATCATCAATAAAGAGCGAGCAGGTGCCACAGCCAGCAGCACACCACCAACCATGACATGACCTCCATGTTTCACAGATATACTGATGGGATTTCCATGTGTACTCACTGCTTTTCATACACACTTTGGGGTTTCCTTTACCTTTGTAAACTTTTTTGTTTAATTTGTCTTTGAAGTTACTCTTAATAGCAAATTCCAGTCTGAGGCTACGTCCACACGTACCCGGGTATTTTTGAAAACGCAGGTTTTTCTATGCATTTGCACCTTTCGTCCACACGTAAACGGCGTTTTTGGTCACTGAAAACGGAGATTTTTAAAAACTCCGGCCAGGGTGGATATTTTTGAAAACTCAGTTTTTGCATTTACGTGTGGACGAGAAAAACGCAGAAAATGCAGCGTCAAAGGTGTGCGCCTTTTTTGACGTCACACTGTGCGCCACGTTATTGTTTCGGTGAAATGAATTTCTACAATACTGTTACTGTTACTTGTACTCTCTGCAGTGTTTAAATGCTTACATACACACACAGTTACTGTCCCTCCACACATACGACTCGGTTCTGCTTCTATGCCCCAGCTTTGTTTACTTTTTCCCACCGAGGCTTCTAGACTTCTGATTGGCCAACATTTCTGTGCGGTTAGGAATATATCGCCACCTGTTGCTTTGGCATGTTCATAGCAGCATTTTCCTTCATTTCTGCCTTTGTGTGGACGGGATTATTTTTTAAAACGAAAACGTAAAATCTCCGGTTTTAAAAATACCCGTGTACGTGTGGACATAGTGTTTCCTTTTATACAATCTACATATAACCTCAAGCTGCTCGGGAACTTCCTATGATGCTTCGAGAACTTTGTCATCCCCATGTGTTGCTATCCTGTATATTTGTCTACCCTCTCCTCAACTTCCTCCCCACAAATGCTTACTGCTAATGGATCATCTTACTGTTGGGGTTCTCTTTTCTAATATTCTGGGGTCTTAAAGATTTACAGCACTCAGAGAAAGCCGCTGTGAACTGGTGCTATAGCCATAAAACAGAATTGAAATTTCATCATTTGACAGAAATTGGTTTATTTTCCTCTTTTATGACCATCTGGTTGGAAAATTGTATTACATCTAAGTAAATTAAACCTCAATTAGGAAAACTTGATTTTATTATAACCCTTTTGTTAAACCATTTTAAAGTCAAACATGTCTTTTTTTTCTTCAGAGAAATCCACACTGCTGTAGTCGATTATATCCTTTTGTCGTGTTGTTACAATAGCTTCGTTTTTGCTCACACATGAGCTGCTTTTCAGTCATAATCAGTTCTGTGGTCTTTGCATCGTGTTCGCCTTCTGGCTCCTATTGCAATCTCAACAGATAATAGTGCACAATTCAGTTCACTTTATGTGCAGCAATTCATAACTGACTTCATGTCAGTGCACTTTAAATCATGAGGGCAGCCCCGGACAATAGTAGGGCTCAATCAGCAGAACAGAGCCGTTTCAAACATTAAAATGCATTCGAAGACCAATAAAGGAAGGTTGATTGCTTCTTTATTTTAATTTATTAAACACTTCTGATAAAATTCTGCGACTTAGATACTTCAAGAATCTTTTGGCACCCACTAAGAGGTTTTAGGACTGCAGTTGTTGATCATAAGGGTTCCATCCTCATTACTTTCTTACATACATCTTGATACACAGAAAAGCTCTCGTGCAGTCAACGTAAAAAGTTGCCACGACTCCACTTAGTCAAGCAAAATGGTCGACGCCATTTTTGACACCACAGGGGAAAACGACAAAAAAATGAAGAGGCATCTCTTCTTTAAAAACTGGAGATGAGACCAGTATTGGTCTATATTCAGCTACAGCCCTGATTATTTCCTGAGTGTCTGGTGACTTGGCATCATGTTTTCATAGCTGATCAAATGGAGCTTGTAGGGTTGGCATCAGCGGACTTTCACTCAGCACCAATCTGTGAGTTCAAGAGAAACGATTAACGTTTTCTTCTGTTAACACTGCCCTCTGGCAAGACATTGGTTTGATATCGACCCCCTCCCCGTCTGAACTGTCCAGACTGCGTTAGCTTGGTAGGTTGCAGGTGTTTGCAGGCTACAGCTACGTGAAAGACTCCTTGAATTCGTTTGTGGTTCAGACAGAGGAAGAAAAGTCAAGAAAAAATCAGCAGCTATTTAGATTCAGTTTTGTTAGTTGACTTCTTTATTTACTCGAGCGGAATACACATTTTTGTTTATCAAATGCTCGAATATAAAATGCTTACTGACACTCTGCCTGCAAAACCTGCTGGGGTTTTACAATAATGCTGCCAGGACTTTGTCCGCCAGGCCGTGCAGTGCTTTACTTCATCTCAGTGACACAGTGTGGTTCAGTGAATTGTTCTAAGCTGGTTATTTACAGCAGTTGACATATATATATATATTTTTAAAATACACTGAGAGCTGGATCAGTTAAATATTGATTTGGAGCTTTTCATGAGATCATCTCGAGAGGATAAACTGTGACAATGATACTACGCTGTAGTACTTTTAGAGTCATCCCTCACTTAGTATCAGATTCTGACAGTTCTTGACTATTTTTAATATCTAATATTTAGTTGTCACTTTATTTCCATTGTGATTTTCCACCATATTTCATCACCAGCCACAGAAGGGCTCTCCAAATGGCTCCAGTGAACGCTCGTCATTTTTGCATCATCGCCGACAGATTTAGGCTCGTTTGCAAAGGAAGATGCTCATGCTTGTGTCATTGTGGTTAATCACTGAAAGCACAATGTAGTGAGTATATTTGATATTCACCGTTAAGATGATCCAAAAACACCAACAAACAAACTAAAACAGATAAGATAAGATAAGATAACCTTTATTAGTCCCACACGTGGGAAATTTGTTTTGTCACAGCAGGAAGTGGACAGTGCAAAAGTTATGACGCAAAAATTAGAATACAATAAGAATAAATACAGTACACAGCTGTACAGAATAGAATAAAATAATATACTATATACAGTAGAATAAAATAGAATAAAAATATACAATAAGATAAAAATAGAATACGAATGCTATATACAACTGAGTAAAAATACAACGATGCCAGAAAAGATTATTGCACTTAGTGTTATTGCATATGTATGGATGTGTGTGTTTGTTCAGTTAAAGTCTTTATTATGGAGTCTGACAGCAGTGGGGAGGAAAGACCTGCGAAATCTCTCCGTCCCACACCGTGGGTGCCGCAGTCTCCCACTGAAGGAGCTGCTCAGTGCTGTCACAGTCTGCTGCATGGGGTGGGAGACGTTGTCCAACAGGGATGACAGCTTAGCTGCCGTTCTCCTGTCACTCACCACCTCCACTGGGTCCAGAGGGCATCCTAGAACAGAGCTGGCCCTTCGGATCACCCTGTTCAGTCTCTTCCTGTCCCCAGCAGAGATGCTGCCGCCCCAGCAGACCACACCATAAAAGATAGCAGAAGCCACCACAGAGTCATAGAAGGTCTTCAGGAGTGGGCCCTCCACTCCAAACGACCTGAGTCTCCGCAGCAGGTACAGCCTGCTCTGCCCTTTTCTGTAGAGGGCGTCTGAGTTATGAGTCCAGTCCAGTCTGTTGTTCAGATGAACACCAAGGTACCTGTAGCTGTCCACAGCCTCAATGTCCATACCCTGGATGTTCAGTGGTTGCAGTGGAGAATGCTTGTGCCTGCGGAAGTCTACCACCAGCTCCTTGGTTTTACTGGCGTTGATCTGGAGGTAGTTCAGCTGGCACCAGTCCACAAAGTCTTGGGTCAGACCTCTGTACTCCTTGTCGTCCCCATCAGTGATGAGGCCGACTATTGCAGAGTCATCAGAGAACTTCTGCAGGAAGCACTGGGTGGAATTGTGGGAGAAGTCTGCAGTGTAGATGGTGAAGAGGAACGGAGCCAGAACTGTTCCCTGTGGGGCCCCCGTACTGCAGACGACCCTGTCCGAAAACAGCACTTAGTGGTTAAATTAGTGTGATTTCAGTCACAGGTGAGATTCAGTTGGATTGATGCTTTTTTTACAGCTTATTTGAACCTTTCTAAAAGTTGCTGTTTCACTGTGTTTTAGCCTTACAATAAATCAGCTCTTAGCCAGTTTTTGCAGTATTTATGGGCTGCATAATTTGTCCATTTAAATCTTTTGCCTTCTACAAATAAAAGATGAACCATGAGAGTTTTCCTGGAAGCTGGGATTTATGTTTTCAGCTTTAGTTCTTGTTCCCCTGCGGGTTTTGTTTGAGTCATAATTGTTTTCATTCTATTTTTTTTGTTTTTCAAAGTAAACGTTTCCTAATTGGAATAAACCAAGTTTCATAAAGTGTAATTCAGAAAACAAATGTGTCGGGTAATTGAGTTCCAGGGGAGAAGTTTTCCCCTCCCAGCAATATCAAGTTAATATTGGCTTCCTTTCAGGAAATACTTATATGTGTGTGTGTGTGTGTGTGTGTGTGTGTGTGTGTGTGTGTGTGTGTGTGTGTGTGTGTGTGAGAACAGGTGTATCAAGTGTACGCTCGCCGCTCCCCAGAGGAAGTATACGATATCCTGAAGGCTATTGGGGCCGACTATGTGGTGTTGGAAAACAGCATCTGCTATGAGCGGAGGCACAGGCGGGGCTGCAGACTGCGGGACCTGCTCGACCTGGCCAACGGACATGTGGGTGGCTTTCATTTAATGTGACTCACTGTGTGTGTGTGTGTGTGTGTGTGTGTGTGTGTGTGTCAGCATGCGCCGTCCCCTCTGCCGACTCCTGCGACTCGGTGAAAGCTCTCAGCCTCTGCAGACAGATCAATAGTCCCACTTCTTATCTGCGCGTCACTGTCTCTCACTCTTTTGCCGCCGCTCACCCCCACTCCCCCAGACTCTTTATTTTGATGTCAGATGCGGCTCGCCGGCTATTTGGATTACCAGAAGCGAGGCGAGCTTCGGTCTGGCCCAGCATCGTGTAAGACACATGAAACGCAGAGTCAGGGTGTGCTCGCAACGCCGTAAATGTCACGCAGCGTACACAACATCTGACATCTAGACAGCTTTATTGAAGGAATGCTGGATTTACGTCTCTTTCTGTCTGTCCTTCGCTTCCTCTCATACTTTCTTTTATTTAGCTCTTACTTTTTTTTATCACCTCTGGTCTTTCTGTCTGCCTGCTTTTGTTTTTCCTTCTTTGCATCTTTTCATCTTTTTTTTGCTTTCATTTTTAAGGATGCCTTCCTTTTTTTCCTGCTCAGTGATCCAGTGCTTTCCCTGTAACACCCCGAGTGTTAATGACTATAACAAACTATAAAAGTTTTGCCTGTTTGTATCTTTACTGTACACACCAGGCAGCCACCACATTAAAATCTCCCCGTGTGCCATCAAGACATTTCAAACTCACCGGGCGAAAGCCACATGACCTGTGGGGCGTCGTTTACAGCTGGAAAACCTTACTTTGGTTTCCAGCGATATTGATGATCTTACTCCAATGAAAATGCAAAGTGAAATCACCAAATAATTACAAATACCCACTGCAGAGTGTTTGCATGTGATTATGAACCTAAATATTTATACATATTGCTCAGAAGCTAATTTGTACTCTATACACTGTCCCTTAATGCAGCGGTCCCCAACCTTTTTTGTGCCACAGATCAGTTTAATGTCAGACAATATTTTCACAGACCGGCCTTCAAGGCGTCGCTGATAAACACAACAAAAGAAAATGATCCGACCAAGACAAGAACGGTGCTATTTTGTAAATATAATAATTCACTGTGTATTTGTGTAACTTTGTTAGCAGCGTCCTCCTGAAATGCACCAACAGCCTCCTCTCTGGTCGCTATGGTAACGCATAAACGTTCCTTTCAAAATAAGACACGGCTACAAAACAAAGTACATGAAAATATATAGAAAATGAATTCATAACACAAGACCCCGGGAAACAGAGTTAACAATAAAAACCCTGAAAATCGTCAATTTCACACCCGAGCCGGTACCGGTCCATGGCCCGGGGGTTGGGGGCCGCTGCCTTCATACACTGTACAGTTTCACTGTAAGCCTCAAAATAGTTTTCGTAGCTCCACTCTAACATGGCTCAGTGCTTTTCATGTTGTGGCTTATTTAGTGTTTTTAAACGTGACACTTTCAGAATTCAAGTGTGTGAAACCATAAAATATTCATGACTGAATATTTGACAAAAAGTTAATATCCCTTTTCTTTTTTTTCATTAAAAGTTTATCATTCAGAAGCTTTCACAGTCCCACCCACCACCTTTTAAAACTGGAAGTGTTGCATCTCGCCAGCAAACAGTGCCGTTCTGTGGGATCCTTTTTAGAAGCTGATATTTTTTGTTAATGGCCTTCAGTGCTGCTAATGAGTATCTTATTCCTTCCAAGAAAATCCGTCCTTGAAGCCAGCATCTCCACATGTCCTGCACTGCCTCTTTTTTTCTTTGGGTTCAGCCTTCTTTGGCTGCTGTTTTAGCTATGTTGCGATCAATAATCCCAAAGCAGAATATTTATTAATTTAGACTCACTTTAGCCCTTAATGCACTAAAGCATCCATACAGATTTTATGGCAGATCTAACTGGCAGAGCAAAGTGAAATCAGAGGCTGCTGCCGGTGGACTTTATCTCGATTGTGCTGGCTTCAGCCTGCCGTCATTCTCGTTGCTGTTAATGGTGACGCGTTTGTTCTCTTATCAGATCATGGACGGACCTGGAGAGGATGACCCCGACCTCGTCCCTGCCACCCACCCTCGTTTTTGCGATGCCATCAAGACGGACGCGGCAGCTTACAACACTCTCTTTACCAGAACATTCCAGAATAAAACCTTCCATGTCTACCGACTCAAGAAGAAACGCAAGAAAAATACGAAGGGCTCATCAGAGCCCAGCGTGACTCAGTAGCAGGACCAGGGCTGCAAGACAACCCCAGCAGAGGCCAGAGGGGAGAGAGGAGGAGAGGATGAAATAAAAGTGCTGAATCCTTGCTGTTCCTCTGTCTCCTCTGTGCACTGCGCCCAGCTGTGATCATGGCCATTATTTCTTCAACACGTGGCTCTTTGGACGTGCTATTAGAACAGCGGGGCCGGTCTGCACTTCGGGTGGAGTGTGCAAATGTAGGATTCCTGCTTCGGGCTGTTCTACGTCCACTCATTCAGCCGCCGTCCACCCCCAAAAAAGTTTAGATGACTAAGTGAAACTTAAAGATTGAAATACAGAGAAGTCGTATGTATTTGCAGCTGAGTTCTTCTTTGCCAATGAAAGTAGGGGCAGAAATCGAAGATTTGTTGAGCTCTTCATTTGTAGGGATTTAAACTGACTTTAAAAAAAACATAAGATCTAAAAGGTTCAGTTTCCACTGTAGTTCAGTTGTTTTAGGAGTAGACATCAGCCGACATTAAGTGTAAATGTCTAGTTTATAAAGTTTCATAAAAAACCTCAAAAATGATACAACTGAAAAGATTAAAGTCAGTTAGGAGATGATTTCTTTTTCAGAACTGACCGACGTGTTGGTTCTTTCAGATGGGCAGCGAGCAGCTCCGGTCAGTATGTTTCAGCCATGTTAGTGTAAAGGAAGCTGGTCATCGGCCTCATTACATGTTCTCATATTAATAATTGAACTGTGCTTGAATTTGATTCATTAAACATCCTGAACATAAAAACATGCTTAAACAGGTTGCCATAGTCCCAGTGGAAACTCGTGCGACTGTTTAATCTTACTGTTACTAGTATTACTTCTAGCATCACTGCTGTCATCCTAAGCTCTTCTACCCACAAGCCTAACAACTACGTGCCAAACCCCAACTTATCCTCACTCTGAACCTACTTTAAGTCTAAAACCAAGTCGTAGCCCTCAAACAGGTCTTTGATCTTCTCTACAAAATGTCTCAAACTAAACACAAACTTAAATTTAGGCTTTAATTTAATTTTTTAATTTTAATTATTTGTGGTCTGTGAGCGTGACTTCAGTCACTGTGATGCAGGTTGGAGAAGCTGTTCTTGAGAAAGCCGCAGTCTGCCTGTTCTGCACAGCTAGCTGTTAGAGACAACCACGCATGCACACACACACACACACACACACACACACACACACACACACACACACACACACACACACACACACACACACTCTTAGTCAGTGTGTCCTTACAGCTGTCATCTTTATAATTACCTTCCTATGATGTGTCTGGGAGACATTTCTACATGGTAGCTTCAGAATAACCTGGATCACACACTCTTTGAACATACACACTATTTAAATTACTGTCTTATCACCAGAACATCAGTCCCAGGAGAGGCCATGTACCAGATACACAGCGGGTAATGGACTTTGTTAGACCACCTGTTATAAAAACAAAGCACACAAATGTTTTAGAAATCTGTCCAAAAATGTATTTTTATTTATTAGGCAAATAAACTGTATCCAAATCTGAGCCGAGACACTGGACTTTTCACAGAAGTCTGAACTTCATCAAACATTCAGCCACTAAAATTCTTCTGTAACTTTAATGTGTTATTATTATTTTTTTATTAATCTTTTCTGCCTTTTTGTAAAAGTAAAATTTGAAAATTCATGGATCAAGACAATAACTATATTAAAAGCTTGCGCGTCAGAGCTTGCAGATACTGTCGAATTAACCATTACACAATCATAAAAATGTATTTTGGTAATAACCAATACTCTTTCTTTGGTCTGGCGGTTGTCTAATAAATCTGTTAAGCTGTGTAGCTTCTCTGTTTGCGGGATTTTTGTGGTTTTCTACTCTGATGATCAGTCTGAGAGCTGCTAGCTGATGAGCTCAGTTTAGCTCCCACCCCCTTTCTCTTCATGTTACTGTACCGTGGTATTTTTTTCTCAGGATTGTACATAAAAATAAATGATTGAAATTATTGAAAAGAAGATTTAAGAAAAAGTTTGCTAACTGCCTCGTCAGCTTCCACTAACTTTCAGCATAACATGCCTCTTGCTATAAGAGCAGATCAGTAGAGTTTATGGTGTTACAGAGATAATCATAAGCTGTTGCAGGCTCATTAAATTGACAATTTATTGCTTCTACCATGAATTACTTTAACTGCCAAATTTCTGGTATCCATTATCGGGCCCCTGTACAGCTACTACACAGGTGGACCTGCTGTGGGAAGAGTGCAGTACTGGGCTGTATCCCAATTCAGGGTCTGCAGCCTTAAAGTATGCAGCCTTAACGGTCCTCAAGGGCCACATACTCAAAGACCGCTAAGGCCAGAAGTGCGAGGCTTGTGAAATGGGACGGTCTAGCCTCCGTCGCGCTGCCCAGGTTGCCTAGCAATCGTGATACTAACAGCTGGAAACGTGTCATACAGCTTTGTTTGACAGAAATGAAGGAGAACATATTTTGTACATTTGTTTGTTTCTACACGAGCGCTGTGTGATTTGATAAGTATCTGAGGCTGAGACCATGGGACTGTGAAACATGATTGTTGGGCTTCATTTCTGTACTGAACAGTCATTTAAGATTAGCTAGTAAATAACAATTAGCTAATGTTGCTCATGAGACTAAAGTCATCTCACTTTGGTAATGTAAATATAATTTACATTACCCCCTGAGCCACGGTCGACCCGGCGACCCCGGGAAGCGTATCTGTAACCGGAAGGTCGCCGGTTCGATCCCCGGGCTCTCTGTCCTGGCCGTTGTGTCCTTGGGCAAGACACTTTACCCTACCGCCCACTGGTGATGGCCAGAGGGGCCGATGGCGCGATATGGCAGCCTCGCTTCTGTCAGTCTGCCCCAGAGCAGCTGTGGCTACAACTGTAGCTGCCTCCACCAGTGTGTGAATGTGAGAGTGACTGAATAGTGGCATTGTAAAGCGCTTTGGGTGCCTTGAAAAGCGCTATATCAATCCACTCCATTATTATTATTAATATGGCCAATATTAAAGTTATTATTTCAGTCAGTATTAGTTATTACAGCAGTGAATGACTCTGTTTCAAATACTGAGCTTCAGTAAAGATTCAAGCTGCATTTATTTATATTTCCTGTCACCTTAAATCTTCACTCAAAGACAGGTTTCTTTGACACTGTGTATATATAACTGTGTTATATATATGAGGGACAAATATTGTTCTTTCAATATGTTGGCATTACTAAATTTCTCTCAGTGGTTACTTTAAATATCCATAAAATCATCACATTCTCTGTAAGATTAAGGTCGACTATTGAACGGTGCATATTTTAAAGTAAAGGCTTTAAAACCAAGTTAGCACAAACGTCACTAATGTCACATAACTTTGCCGACATGTGGCCAACAGTAACGTTTAAATGTTCTTCGTTATTAAACATTTGCACATAAATAACATAATAATCAGTACTTACTTTTAAAACTCTTTGGCCGCCCCTCCTCCGCCGTTTTTTTTTTTTTTTTCCCGGCAAAATTATCCACACCCACCGCCGCGATATGCATTCTGGGATATGTTGGGCCACGAAGTCTACACCGCCACATCCTTAAAATTCAGGGAAATGAAGGACGCATTTGAGGGCCGCATTTCGAGCAGCCTTTGAATCGGGACAGCCTTTAAGGCTGCAGACCCTGAATTGGGATACAGCCATCTTTTATATACAGTCTGTGTACCGTTGCCCACAAACAGGAAATGCTGAGAGTTGTTCGTTCAGTGATTGTTTAGTCATACTCTGCTGTAGCCCCACCGAGTAGGTCAGACCACTAGCAGAGCTCAGATGTGGCCCCTCTGTGGTGGGGCACATGTGGCCGCTGTGATAAATGTTACCAGTTACCCCAGAAAAGGAAGGATAATTACGTTAGTTTCGCTTTCTGCCGGCTACTTAAATGTGCTTTTGCTGTAAAACTGAGGTCAGAGTTGGTACCAAGTGGTATTTGTGACGGTGTTGTTGTTGTGATTGCTGTCATGTTTTTTCTCTTTCTGTGATTGTCATCAGCAGCATTCTCAACCTTTTCATTTTTGTCTCTCTGACACACACACACACACACACACACACACACACACACACACACACACACACACACACACACACACACACACACACACACACGAATAATGTAAGTAGCGAGGAAATTGCAGCAGCCTGACAACGGGGCTGATTCTGAGCCACAATCCAAAATAGAGAGAGAAAGAGGGGCCAACACTTGCATATCAAACCGAGGCTTTGTGGTTAGACGAGAAAGCGGGGAGGAGGAGAGGGGATGACAGACGATGCTCATGTTTAAACAGCAGCGCAGGAGAAATGAGAGCGCGTGAAAACATGAATTCTCAGTGATCTTCTTCATTTTCTTCTTTCACACCAAAGGCGAGGAGGTGACTGAAAGGCTGGAGCTGCGTAGGTAATTAGTGGTTGGACAATTAGCACCCTCCCTCCGTCCCTTCCCCTTCATCTCAGCTCAGTTTGCCTGCATTTGTACACTTGTTAATAAGGACCTCTGTCTTTGATAATCCACGCTCTCGCAGATGCGTGAGCACTCCTGCACACGGTTGTTGCAGGGCTTTTGAAAACACGGTGTTCGTTAAAGGCGAGGCCTCGTCGTGATGCATATCAATCGGATGAGCGGAACGAGAATGCTTGTTCCTCCCGCCTCCATATTGGATGTTTAATTTAGGCGATGTCTGATTGCTTTATTTGAGAGCGAAGTGATTCCATTAGGTTTGCCTAATAAGAGTCTAATATTTTTTCAGCATTGTTAATTTCCATACATATTGAGTTTAGTAGCAGGCCGCTGCTGACTATGGTTTTCTTAATGAAGAGGCGATGAAGGCGGTCATTAACCTGTACAGTCTGCTGTGGTTTAAAGTGGATGTTCGTGAAATACATGTAAGATGCTCACTAGATGGCTTTGTGCAACTAATGAACTTGTTTGGATCCAGGTTTAGTTTGAACAGTCTGCTTTTGGGACAAACGATCTGAAACCTGGCCTCGGCCCTGAACCGTGATGAGACCGTGAATGTTTGCTGAACAGGTCATGTTAGAGCAGCAGGCGGACAACTTTATTCTTGAAGGTCTTTCCACGTGATTTTAGAAGTCAAAGAACTTTAATCCCAATCTTAAAAAATCAAACGATGTTGGGATTGCTCCCAGATGCAGGATTGGTTTTCATCTATTGGTCTGAAGCTAGATGAGATAAAATTATCATCTGTCGTAGATGAAACCCAAGCAGCACTCGCCTGAATCATAATCGTGCAGATATTTTGGAGCCTGAATGCGATTAGCATCCTTTGGCATTGGTGCTGTGATGCCACGATGACCCAAGTCACCCAAGGGTTGCTTGTTTGGGATGTTGTGCTATTTTAACCGTTTTATTTCTACATCCATCTCAGTAGTTTTTGGTGTTGAAGCTTCTTAAACAGCCACAAAATGTACAAAATAAATGAAATCTGAACTTTTTCAATCAAAGATGAAATTCAGTGCTGTCAAAAATCTGATCTCCTGGAGCTGCACGTTAAGCCACCTGCTTGTGCAAACTTTGCCCATCTTTGAGCTCACAGTCCAGTTTCTGAGTCCAGCTATTACTTTGACTGTTGCACCAGCTCACCAATGCCAAAGTAAACCTTGTGCACATTAGTTACCTCTTTTTAACTGGTGTAGTCCCAGCAGAGCCAGCTCTACCTTGAACAGAAGTGAAGATCATTTAGCATCATGGGTTCTCACTTTGGGAACTATTGTTGTTTTTGTGGAACCTGTTCTAGATTGAACGCCAGCATCACTTCTGTGAAAGAGAGGTGTGTGCGGCAGCAGCCTCTGGCAGAATTTAACTGACTGAGATGTTAATCTCCTGGCTATGTAATGATGTTGGTTGGGGATTGATCAGAAATGTCTCTGCCTTGCTGGAACCTGAATTAGAACAGTGTGGGAAATAACACTTGACGTGCTTGACCAGGTTAGGCTCTCATACCAAAACCTCAGCCCAGCTGGGAAGCATGGTAGAGGGAGCATCATGGTTTGGGATCGCTTTACCACCTCGGTAGCTGGACATCGAGCAGAGTGTCAGGCAGTTATGAGAGGATGGTTTGATCCCTTTGCCCGCACTCAGGCTTTGATTACTGCTGATTCAGCAAGGACACAGGGCCGCTCTGCTGTTCATGAAGACTCTGGCTGACATTTTCAACCCTTTATCTCCAGTTTGCCTAAGGACACATGCAAACTTTGTCTAAGGCAAGAACCTCCCCTTCATGCAGTATGACATTAAACGTGTCTTGGGTGGAGCAAACAACCCAAAAAGTACAGGAAACAGAAGTTCACATGAAACGAGGAGGAATGAAGTCTGCGCTTTGACACCGAATTAGTTTACTTTTAACGGCTGACATAAAAAGCAGATCTATCGTTTGACCTCTCTTCACCTTTTTTAAGACAAGATCCTAAAAGATGTTAAGATGAGACTGGACCTTAAAATTCATTAGTTGTAAAGAACATTTAAATAAGTGAAATAACATAAGTTTGGGAATTTTTAAGAAACGTCTTTTGGCTTTGTCAAGTCAACATCACGCGATGTTACAAAGTGTTTTCTATCAGTTTGAGCCCTCGTGAACTCAGGTGATGTCATTTTCAGTTTTTGAGGGTTCAATTTTGGGACTGAGCCGAGTAGATCAACTAAAAGGCTGAAGGAGAGTAGATTTCAGCTTTTGAAAGTCTGAGTCCTGACCTTAATTCAAGTGACGTGCTGCAAGTATGACCTGCACGCAGCATCCAGGACGTACCGATACCCTGGTAGGAGGACTTACTGTGTCTGATGGAGGCTGTTGCTGCTGAAGTCCCTAAAGTCAAGAGTTAACTTGTTTTCCAGCCTTTAGAGTTAGAATTACATTGAATAATCACTATTTGGATGAAGAACTTTTCTTCAGTAATAATTGGAGACATCCTGGTAATCCTAAAGAGTCCTCACATCATCTTCATTTAAAACAACATTGAACTCGTTCATTGTGGAAACAGTTTCTTTGTGTTTATTTGAAAAAAGAAAATACTGTAATATGTATCTGGGTGCCTTTTGGTCATTTTTCCTTTTTGCTTGGTGTTCCTTTAAAAAAAAAAAATCCACTAAAGTGATTCTGTGCTGTCATTTTCTACTGTAAAGCCACAAAAATCATCCAAACTTGTAAATGTTTACTCTGCCGTTAAAAGTCTTTCTCATGCCAGACACAATGCTGGTGGAGGGATACGTGAAGTTTCACATATTATTAGGCAGTGTGTCAATAAAACAATTCCCCCCCCAACAATGCTGTTTCCCTGTCAGTCAAAGCCAGGAATATTTATTTTTCACATTTCAGTTCATCGGTTTCTCTTTACAGACGCAGTCACGATTCAGCACTGGTGCAAATGAATTTATTGAGGGGAGGAAAAAAAAGATCAAAGCAAATACAAAACACTTATAACCGTCAAAAGCTGATCACCATCATGTTGATAAAAATATGTTCGTTTGATTTCTTTTTCCTCTCTGAAGCGGCACATTTTAAATCTATGCTGCTCTTCTTGGCAAAAAAAAAGCAATAATTTGAATGTATCTATCTCTGTACTTACAAATGAGGTAAAAACATTGTTCACAACATGTCTGCACCCAGAACACAACACTGAAGAAGCCGTCGTATGCTACAAATGAATGGTGGGAAGTGAATCTCCGCTCCTTACAGCTGTAGTGAAGCATGAAGTGTTTTCATCCTTGTGTGTGTGGGGCTCAGGCTCGGACGCTCTCCAGAGAGCAACATACAAGCATCACTCTGGAGGAACTCCCCACTGCCTGAAAGATAAGCATGTCTTTTACTTTTAGGCATCATTGACTGGAAATGCCCTTATTTATAAAAGCTGCATTGTTGCCTCCGCTGCTCGGAAAGCGTTTGTCTGAAAAAGAAGCTGCAATCTGGGGATCGACTCCTCTGTCAACTCATTTCTTTTTTGGAAACTCCTCACATTCCTTTGGTTTTTCCAGCATGACAGCGGGCCATCAGCTCCTATTAGGATTAGTGGCCTGACATGTTTTCACACTCTACTACCCTTTGACTGCTCTCTGCCGACAGGCTCAGCTCTGCCAGCGTGAAGACAAATAGAAGGGAAAAAAGGTATGAAGGGAGCGCTGCTGATGCTGCTGCTTCCAGCAGAATCCAGCGGCTGAAACGCCAGAAGAAGCCACGCTGGAACTTTGGGGAGAATCGTAGGTTGTGGGGTCATGTGGGTGGGGGCACACGACTTTTTAAGTTCATCCCATTTGCAGTGCAGCAAACTGTTATGCAGGAAACTGTTGCTTGCAGCATCTCTTCCCTCGGCGGCTCCCCCACAGGGCCGCTGTGCTCCGTGGTGCACTGGTGAGACATCTCTCCACAGGGCTGGGCTCCCTCCGCTTCACTCCCTTCCCTCATTTGCTCTCTGATTCAGCCCCCTACCCTGCAATCCTCTCTCTTGTTTTAAAAATGTGAAAGGAAGTGTGCCCTTTTTAGACTCTCGTTCGCTGCGTTATTATTATTATTTGCCTTTTTGTTCTTTTAAGACAAAGTGTTTAGTTTTTTGCAGAGCTGAGAGAGAGAGAGAGAGAAGCTGGAGGGATAATTCACAGTTTCGACATTAAAAAAACAAACAAAAGCACAATGACATGTTCCTGCAGCTCTCTTACCCACAATCCTCCTAATGTTTCAGCCAAGAAATATGTGCTAATTTAGCAAGACACAATAGATGGATGCGTGAACTGCATATGGCACAGCTATCACAGCTCACAAGCATATATATATATATATATAATCCTTATAAATATCTCTTACCCTCTTCCCTCCATTTATGTTTATTGAGTAGTCACCTTGAAAGGCAGCTCTGTGTACTTTGTATTCTGCCGAGCATCTGTTAAAATAGTCTCTCGCAGCCGCCACATTTGGTATGCCAGAGGAACAGCGTGCACGGAACAGAGCAACAGAGCGAGCATTTCCTCCCTCCCGCAGTCCACACGTCCACTCGCATTTCTTTGTTACAAAGATGTTTGAATTTTTGTGCACCCTCCCCCGGGTGAGGAGGAACGAGCAGCGGCGGAGCGCAAATGAGAATAGGAAATCAAATGAAGACGCGGGCACGGTACTAAGTAGAAAGCTTGATGTCTTACAACCCATGGAGCGTTGAAACTTGAAACACCCAACCAATACAGAATTACTCAACCTAGCAAAAGACACATTACCAGAAAAAAAAATCTCACCCTGGAAACCAGTGATGGTCGAAGCACTTCTTTTTGTTTTTTTTCTCATACAAACATTGACAGAAGCTGTTTACAGCCAGGCAGCGAGAACACGATGTGTCCACTACAGTGAAACTGCATTGGATGGGCTACTCAGTATGATCCACCTCATCTTCACTGACTTATCGTGTAACAGTGTGAAATACATGACATTTATTTACAGAGCAGCAAGGTGCTAAAAATACATTTAGTGGCATTGAGTTGCTCAGGTATATATATATGTATGTATGTATTAAAAAAATCCTGGCCAAAACATTTTCATATTTTCTGCCTTCAGCTGGCAGCTCATCCACACACGAGGAAATTTGGGGTTTTAGTGTCTGTGACTGGAACAGATTTTTCCGACAGTGAAGCTAAGCTCCATCATGATGAGTAGCCCGAGTGCAAGCTGACGTTCTGAAGCATTTAACCTGACTTGTAGGTTTGATAACGTCTGCTCCTGCAAAATTGCCGTCCAAGGTAGAGTGAGTGCAGAGCGGCAGGCTCTTTTCATTGGGACACTTTCATCTGTCTCTTAGGCCCCCGCTTTGATTGACGGGTCTCATCATCCAGTAAATACAACACAGTTCGTGTCAGCTGTCAGCAAAGTGCTGCGCGTGGAGCGACTCTCTCTGTCGGCCAGTCTCTCGCTTTTCCAGCCTGAGTCGCCGCCAAGCGTCTGCTAATTGATTGTTTTGGGCGGCCCCGTTATCAGGGTCCAATCAGTTTGTGTTGGAGCTCAGAGGTCGCTGGCCTCGGCTCGCTCGTACAGCGCCCGAAGCTTCTCAAAGCGAGGCCCCCACTCCCCGAGCGTCTCCTCCCTCCTCGCCTCCACTCCCCCTTCTCCGCTGCTGCCTCCATCCAGCCCTGCTGAACTGAAGGAGCTGAGGGAGCCGGCAGGCGAGCCCCCACCCTCGGTGGAGAAGACCTGCAGGGAGTCAAAAGGTCCCGTGTCTGGATGCTGGTCAGCATCGCGGATGATCTCGCACAGGTAGCGGGCCAGATCCTGGCTGGAGAAGGACAGGGAACGACGGGCTAGCTGCGAGGGACGGGCCTGGCCCTGGGCCGGCAGCCTGGTGGGGGGGACGTCCCTGCGGAGACTGGTCGTTGTGGTGGCCGTGGAGGAAGTGGAAGCTGCAGAGGGAGGCAAGGTTGTGGAGCTGGTTGTCCGGCTCAGGGGGTCCAGCGGCTGGGAAGAGGGTGGGACGGGGGGCGCCTGGTGGAGGAGGTGATGGTGATGATGATGGTGGGGAGGAGGAGGGTGGTGCAAGGCTCTAGAGCGGCAGTACTGCACTGACTGGGCCGGGCTCGGCTGGAGGGACTTCTGCAGCTCTGCCATGTCGTAGGCATTCTGGTCTCACACACACACATTTACACAAAAGCAGATGAAAAGTCTGAGTTAGCACAGGAGCTGTAAAAACAGAGAGGGACTGATTGTCTGGGGGAGAAAGACGAGGCAGAAAAAAATGAAATGTGACAGTGAGAAAGCAGAAAAATGAAAAGAGAGCAGAAAAACAATCGGCTCGCCCCACAACGTTTACTGTGAATGTTCCACCTATTTAAGTTTCCAATCTGTCTCCATTTACTGTTGCAGAAAACTTGTAATTCGAAATATCTCTGTATGCATGTGAGAGACCAAGAAGAAGAGCAAGATGAGGGACATTTCTCTCCCTCTCTCCACTGCAGACAGCTGCCATTACTTTGTCATGTAGCGCAGCAGCAGCCACTTTGGTACTAATGTGATTCCACCAGAACTGTAACCAGGGTGGCAGAGATGCAAAAAGATGTAGGAGGAGGAGGCGGCGGAAGAAATGATGCACAAGGAGGAGGCGTGGGTCGCTTTGTGAAACTGATTATGTGATGAGTGCTGTTTTTATTCCTCTAGAGCGATTTCAAACAAGACTCCAGAGAATTAACCACAGTGGCTGCTGTGTATAGGGGATCAGTACTGTGTGTGTGTGTGTGTGTGTGTGTGTGTGTGTGTGTGTGTTTGACTGCAGGTAACGGACAGAATCTTGAAGGTTTTGGGGTACTGATAAGGCCAGACAAGGATCTCTATATGAAAGTGTTTTTTCCTCCTCTTTGTGTGTGTTTCAGCAATGATTTCAGCAGCCACATGTGTTTGTTGCGATCAAAGCTGTGATATTATGCAAGCTCTTAAGTACCGTTGAGTGCTTGTGGGTTACATTGGCTGGTGGAGAGGAGATAAGGATTTTGCGTGGGCCTAATTAAAACGCTAGCGCACACACTGCAGGATTTTATTCCAAATTGAATTGACAGAATCCATTATAGAGCTGCTGCCATACATCCACTGCTAAGAATTTCCAAAATAAAAGTCTTTGAAATCAAAATTAAAACATCTCAACTTCAAGCAAGCACGTGGCGATGTAGCAGTTACATACTGAACATCACTTTTAACAGTTGTGTATGTGTGCACAAAGGTTTCTTTCTGATTTGCTTTGATAACTTTCCCAGCAAAGGGTACAGTCTGCATGCATGTGAGCGTGCGAGGGGTGTACCTGGTCCTCCTCCCCACCGCCCTCCTCATCGTAGTTGAGGACGTTCTCCCGGATGTCCTCCCAGCCGTCGTGATGCGCCGTGACGTGGTAAACGCCCTCTTTCAGCCCTTTGTAGGACCTCCAGCGAGTGTAGAGGAAAATGCCCAGTAGCAGCACTGCAGTTGAGACAAGACGGTGTTGAAGGCATTAGCATTACAAATTAAATGATTAAAATCCTTCAATCAAGATATGCCCTCAGAGACAGGCGCTCTTGATGGAGATGGCCTTGAGCATCATTTGAGAAAAGTGCGAGCCGAGACGTGATACGTGTTAGGAATCAAGTGACGCTTCAGAGTTTGATCTAACAAGTGTTCTGCTGCTGGTGTTTAACAAAATATATTTCAAGGACTGGCAAAAATCTCTGTGACAGTCAAAATCTTTCTCAAGATTGGCAAAAATGCCATGAGTGAGTTCGTGCATCCTTGGGAAACCTCGGGGGTGCAGAACAAAGTGAGATTAATGGGTTAGTGAGGTACTTCTTCTCACCTGGCTAGATCACTATAGTTACCTGCTTCAGAGCAGGCTGGATGTTTATCATGATAAAAGCCTGATCTGCTGCTGAAAACAGTGATGAATTTGGCTGTTTGGTTGTTGAACTGTGGCCTTTCCGAGTTCGGGCATTGCATTCTCCTTCTGAAAAATTAGGCATATTTCATGAAAATATTTTCACACGAAAAATGTCTTTAAACAGAAACAAAGGAGGTCACATGACCAACTGAGCTAGAAGGCAGGTCAGCCTCTAGGCTGAGAAACAAACACCTCATAGGTCTTCAGGTGGCGCCTTCATTACAGGCAACAAAACACTACTCTCCGTGTCAACAGGGACGAGACGTTCCAGGTAGAGCTGCAAAGATTAGAGAGCGGCTAAGCGTGATGGACAGACAAATCAAAGTCTGGGTCAAAAAGAACATTTATGAGACGTAGAACAAATAAAAGATGCTGGACACCATCTGCCAAAGAAGTTGATTTGCTCAGAGTGAAAGGGATCTTAACCAAGCGAGGCTGTTTGTTTATCTCTTCATCCATTGGATGGATAACAACATGGCCTTACTGATTTCCTCATAAAGCTGTTGTAGTAACAGCTGGACTGTACAGTGAGTAAGAAAATACCGTCAGACTAAACCAACACAGGAGGAGCTTTGAGAAGCAGATTACCTTAACAAGGTCCAAGGTAAGCACGGCTGCGATTGCTGAAACTTTGCGATTCTTTGATGAAAAGGTTGAAGGACACAATTTTAATTTCCTCACCAATGTCTTGACCGTATTTTCTATTCGCTGAATGAAATAAAAGTGCAATAGCTGACCTTTTTCCCCCAATGAATGCCGTACTTTATTTCATGGGCACGTTAATTTCATTTTATTTTTTTCTTTAACCACATTTTACAAACTCCCTGATTCTGCACCTCTGAGAAACTGGATCATTACAATCATATCAGTTACAGCGCTGACTCGAAGCGTCGCCTCTATCATGTTAAATAGTTATTAAGTATGAAATTAAACATCATATCAGTGGCTGACACATCTGGCCACAATCAGATTTTCAATTAAAGACTAATAAACATGTGAACCTAATTAAAATGCTAATTTAAAATTATTCACAACCTTTACATCTGCTAGCATCACTGTAGTTAGAGGTAATTATAGCCATGTGACTGACAGGCTTTGTAGACACTGAACATGCTTCGGATTATAGGCGGCTCACTTAGTGCTGACAGTGTTTGACTGTAAACGGCATTAAGAGGGTACTGATACCGGCCTCGATAATGGGAGGGAGGAAAATTAGCCGCCTGATGTCTTATTGGAATTAATTACACTCCCATCATTGACACATTTAACCTTGAAGGGAACCTACTATGCTTTTCTGTCATGATGGGTGCTCGTGAGCTCAGCCTACATAAAAATAATCCACAGACTGTATATAAAAGACAGACGTAATCACACTCACTGGTTTTAGCTTTCTGGTCTCTGGTCATTAGTGTTTTGGAACCAGAATTGATCACATTTAAGGTGTTAACACTGTAACATTTAATGCTGTTACACTGGACATTTTAACATGGCATCCATCCATCCATCCATCTTCATCCGCTTTATCCGGGGCCGGGTCGCGGGGGCAGCAGCCTAAGCAAAGAGGCCCAGACCTCCCTCTCCCCAGCCACCTCCTCCAGCTTATCCGGGGGAACACCAAGGCGTTCCCAGGCCAGCCGAGAGATATAATCTCTCCAGCGTGTCCTGGGTCTGCCCCGGGGCCTCCTCCCGGTGGGACATGCCTGGAACACCTCACCCAGGAGGCGCCCAGGGGGCATCCTTGTCAGATGCCCGAACCACCTCAGCTGGCTCCTTTCGATGTGGAGCAGCAGCGGCTCTACTCTGAGCCCCTCCCGGATGGCCGAACTTCTCACCCTATCTCTAAGGGAGAGGCCAGCCACCCTTCGGAGGAAGCTCATTTCTGCCGCTTGTATCCGCGATCTCGTTCTTTCGGTCACTACCCACAGCTCGTGGCCATAGGTGAGGGTAGGGACGTAGATCGACCGGTAAATTGAGAGCTTCGCTTTTACACTCAGCTCCCTCTTCACCACGACGGACCTGTGCAGCGTCCGCATTACTGCAGCTGCAGCCCCAATCCGTCTGTCGATCTCCGGCTCCCTTCTCCCATCACTCGCGAACAAGACCCCGAGATACTTGAACTCCTCCACTTGGGGCAGGAACTCATCCCCGACCCGGAGTGGGCACTCCACCCTTTTCCGGCTGAGAACCATGGCCTCAGATTTGGAGGTGCTGATCCTCATTCCCGCTGCTTCACACTCGGCTGCGAACCGTTCCAGTGCGAGCTGGAGGCCCTCACCCGATGAAGCCAACAGAACCACATCATCTGCAAAAATCAGAGATGAGATTCTGAGGCCACCAAAGCGAAAGCCCTCCGCCACTTGGCTGCGCCTAGAAATCCTGTCCATAAAAATTATGAACAGAACCGGAGACAAAGGGCAGCCCTGGCGGAGCCCATCACCCACCGAGAACGAGTCCGACTTATTGCCGGCAATGCGAACCAAGCTCTTGCAACGGTTGTATAGGGATCGAATGGCCCGTAGGAATGGGCCAGACACCCCATACTCCCGCAACACCTCCCACAGGACACCCCGAGGGACACGGTCGAATGCCTTCTCCAGGTCCACAAAACACATGTAGACTGGTTGGGCAAACTCCCATGCACCCTCAAGTATCCTCGAGAGGATAAAGAGCTGGTCCAGTGTTCTGCGACCAGGACGATTAACATTTAACATGGCAGCTTATGGGAATTCACTTGCTTAAACAGCCCCTAGTGGCCAATAGAAGAACTGCAGGTGCTGTCAGTTGTTCGTGCCTGTGCTTGAGGTACTGCCTGTAAACCACTGATTGTCAAACTGTGGAGTGGGCCCCAGAGCCACCGCAGTCAGGGTCAGGCTTCCAGTTATCCAATTCAACCTGTCCCAGCTGGTATTGGTGGACCAGTCAGGGTACATCCTGGAATGGGCGCCTGTCTATCACAGGGCCAACACAGTCACATACAGCCTATTTCTAATCACAAATTAACTTAAACAACATTTTTTGGACTGTGTGAGGAGGCCAGAGAGAACCTGCACCGACACAGGAAGAACATCACAACCCCGCCCAGAAAGGTGGATTCCGACCCAGCACCTTGTTGTGAGGTGACGGTCCTGCTATCGTGCTGTAAAATTTGCACTTCTAAATAAATTCAACGTATGCCGCGTTTCACTGTAGACCCTTTTTTCATTGTTGATAATGGATGAAAACTGTGGGCTGTGACCTTTCTCTGGCTTCTGACGAGGAGCATGCCAGAACAAGTTTGAAACTAATGCTGTAAGCCAGAAACACAGGCTTCAAGCTGTCCTAAATATCCCGGGCATGCCTGCCAGATACCATAGCTATGAGAACATCAACCCCACCCACCTGCTGTTTGACCCTTTTGTTTATGAGGGGCAGCCAATTAGCTAGTGGGCTTAAAGGGAGGGGCGCTGAAAGGGCTCGTTTCACGCAGAGAGCGAACTGAGCAGCTTCACCTGGGCCCAGTCAAAGATAAATAAAGATTATTATGAACTGGGTGTCTCTCTCTCACACACACACACACACACACACACACACACACACACACACACACACACACACACACTTTCTGCTCAAACAGTCTCTGCGTCTTTCTCACTGTAGTGTTGCTGTGACCTTTTCAAATGTCTAACAAATCCCCCGTATGTTGTCTCATACCTATCACCTCTCGCCTTTGATAATACTACTCTAAGCCTCTCCATAATATTAACCTGCTTTACACCCACACAAACGCTTTAATTTTTTCCCTTTAATTCAGCTGCACTTCCCGCCACTCTCAAATCAAACAACCGAATCAAAACACGTTTCCTGCAAAAGAGGCAACTTGTAGAATCTGGAGTGCAGTGTTTAAATAATATTTAATAATTTACAAGCAGACGTCATTAACTGAGTGAATTACTCACAGAGACATATGCTATCTTCAAATCTGCTTCCCTTTTTTCAAAAGCAGCAGAAAGCTGTGTTTAATCACATTTGAGAACAGCAGCAATCACATACAACAACTGGCAGCATTATAAATACCCAAGCTGCTCAAATCCGATTAATCCGAGGTAAGACACGAGCGTGAAAAATCTGGAATCTTAAACAACTCAAACCCATCTGAACGTGCACGGTCTCTTCTTCTGCATCAACCCCTGCGTTTTAACTCTGAATGTCTTTCTCTTACATCATAACTAAAACCCAGCAGCCACTGCATCATGTAAGCACACCAACAGAAAGCACTCAAACGCTCTGTGAATTGATAACACCCCATTAAACAGCCCACCCTCTGACAACTCTGTAAGAGTAAATTCACTCAGCCAGAAACCAGCTGCACAGTACGAGAGGAAAAATCAATATTCATTTACTGTCATCTTGTCCCCCCTCACCACAACTCCAGCGCCTGGCAGATATATAAGACGAAATTGTTTCAAGAGATTTGCTGTTTAATTTTAAGATGGGCGTTATGGCTTTTAATGGCGAGTGAACAAGAACAAGGGGGAAAGGGGCTAAAAGAAAAAAGACTTTTGTTTCAGGAGAGCCCACGTGTGTCTGACTGCTGCAGTGGCTGCTTTCATGTTCGAGAGACAGTGAACTGGCAAAAACAAGGTCACAGGTTCAGTCCCCCTGCCCTGACTGCAATGAGCCTCATTTACTGTGAGGTGCCCTGAGCTTCCCCAAGACAGAAACAATAAATGAGTCGAAACAATGTGGAGAAGCAGCTGGTCCAGCAGCCCGGAGGTGCCCAGAGCCAATGAGATTACACGGCTGGAGGATTTAAGGCCATTGAGAGGAAAATGCACAATAGCAAGAGCCAGGACAAAATAATAGATAGTGTTTTTAAAGATTTACAATATAAGGGTGCCCTGTGGACTCTGACCACCTGTGGCACAGCAGCACGGTGGAGCTATGTTTCAATTCAATGCAATTTAATTCAATTCTGTTCTATTTATACAGCGTCAAATCAGAGCAACGGTCACTCCGAAGCCTTTATTTTGTAAGATAAAGACTCCACCATAATACATTGAAAAGAGCAAGCACTGGTGACGGTGGGAAGGAAAAACTCCGTTTTTAACAGGAAGAAACCTCTTACAGAACCAGGCTGAACATCTCCCCTTCAAGGTAGACTCCTGCTGCATATTTGCAATGTGTTTGGTGCTGCAGCTTTTTCAGATAGTTCCCTGGAAGTCCTGTTTTGAACACCTGTGCTTTGAGCCCAAAAGCTGAAATGTAACTTTGGGGTAACGGCAAAGTTGCAGGCAGCCAATTCTGAAAGCTGACCTTGTAGTGAGAGATGCTTTTGTTCTTGTGGACCTAAAACATTTACTTTTAATGCACTGAGGGGCCACACAGGGGTGGGCTGTGGAACCCTGATGGCAGGAAGTTTTTGGAAAGAGGAAAAAACATATTTTTGCACAGATGGACATCAGAATTGCAACGTAAAAAGAAAAAAGATGTCCTTTTATAGAATACCATCATGGAAGTAGACCTTTGAAGCCAAACACAAACATTTCCAGGTACAGACGTTTAAACAGGCACTCGTGGCTCAAGAGTTGGGAGTTCACCTTGTAATCGGAAGGTTGCCGGTTCGAGCCCTGGCTTGGACAGTCTCGGTCGTTGTTTCCTTGGGCGAGACACTTCACCCGTTGCCTACTGGTGGTGGTCAGAGGGCCCGGTGGCGCCAGTGTCCGGCAGCCTCGCCTCTGTCAGTGCGCCCCAGGGTGGCTGTGGCTACAATGTAGCTGCCATCACCAGTGTGAATGGGTGGATGACAGGTTGTGTAAAGCGCTTTGGGGTCCATAGGGACTAGTAAAGCGCTATACAAATACAGACCATTTACTCTCTCTGCTGTGCATTTTCCACTTTCCAAGGTTTCACTTCACCGTTTATCACACACACAAAAGCAGAGTCAGTATTGCAGTTAATAAAGATAAATACACCAACTGCAAGGCTGGCATTTTATATATTTTTTTATATAACCAACATTAGTTTGGTAGTAGAAGCAGAATGTAAACAAAGCAGAGCTCATAGATACTTTGACGACAACATCAATCAATATTAATGGGAGCATTTTATAAACGATTGGGGCATATGATGGTATTATATCTGTGAAATGACATTTACTTTATACTATGACTAAACACAGCCCTTTATATCTTGAGATACCCTGGGTGTTACAATGTAACGACAGAGGATGCATTTGTGAAGCCCAGAACTACCTAATGCTTCATTATGTAGCCAGGAAATGTTCTGGAAACATTCCTCAAAGATTTTGCTCCACATTAACATGACAGCATCACAAATGTGGCCCAGACCTGTTGGCTGTACTTCCATGATGTGAATCTCCTGCTCCACCACATCCCAAAGGTTCTCCATTCAATTGAGATTTGGCGACTGCAGAGGTCATTTGATAAATGTTGCCTTCCTATTAGCTTAAAGCATTATCCTCTGACATCAACGAGACATTTCCACTCAGAGAACTGCTGCCCACTGGTTATTTTCTTTCTGATATACTCAGAATCTAGCACCAACAACCACACCAAGTTGCCTAAGTCATCTTTTTCCCCTCATTCTGATACTCAGTTTAACCTTGTTGCCTAGATGCTAAAATGCATTGTGTTGCTACCATGAAATGGGTGGATTATATATATATAAATATAGATACAAAATTAAATAGCTGGTGAATGAATGTTGACAGATTGAGCCTGAAAGACAAATTCATGTTGCACAAACCTGTGAAATACAAAAAGAAAACAACCTTGAGCACAGTCCTAAACTTTGTGCTGGGACCAGCTCCCATCGCCTGTGATGATCGTCTGTCAGATGATTTCTCTGCACACGTTAGAGGACCATGCTGAAATTGGCAGTGCATTGGACTGCAAGTGATCCAAGTGTAGTAAGAGAGCTAAACGGGGTCCAGCGTTACAGAAGGAGATGACCTTGAAAAAGAAATTTGCTTGTTATGGTTACTCACAGTGTACTGCCTCTTTTTCCAACCCCCACATTTTCAGAGGCTTTAAGGCTTTTAAACAGTGAGCGGTTAATGAACGACTAGAAATCCAGTTTCACTATGAGTTACACGTACATTTGTGCAGGCTAACCAACGCTTCATTAAGCATTTCTTTTTCCCACAGCACAAAAGAAAAGATGTGACAAAGCACACAAAGAAATGTGATCCTAAGCTGACGTGAGATTGCTGTGCTCCACCGCATGAATCAATATCCTTCGCATTATGGCACAGGCCTATACGAAGAGAAATACAACCTCTATAGACTGAAGCAAATAATCTGGAAATATAAGAGGTGTGTTACTGCTTAGTTTATGATGGTGGAGTTTATGCCTTTATGTTTCTCCTGCTCCCCTCTGCTGAGAAGCAAGTGTGTGTGTGTGTGTGTGTGTGTGTGTGTGTGTGTGTGTGTGTGTGTGTGTGTGTGTGTGTGTGTGAAGAGGTGGCTGGAGTGAGCTCCACGGGGAGGTGAGCAAGGAAGCTGGAGGTCAGGGTGTACAAGAAGAATCTGCTCTGTTCAAAGTCTTCTCCAGAGGGCAAACAAAGAAATGGAGAATTTGATCGGTATTTCTGACAGTGTGTGTGTGTGTGTGTGTGTGTGCTGGAGAAAGTAAAGAGCGAGCCTGAAAAGAAAGATTATGTGTTTATTTGTTTACACTGCCTCCAAGGTCCTGTGCTGTCTTTGACCATCACTCCTTTCTCACTCTCTCTGCTTAACTCTTACTCCTGCCTTCAACTCGCCCTCCCTCCGTCCAAACTCCTCTAACGGTTCTCTTCCTCCACTCAGCCGCTCCACCCCTTCTTTAAAGTTTGTGTCTATTGATTCCATTGGACTTTAACAACAAGCGCTACGTTAGGTCAAACCCTTCAGCTATTTCTGGCTCTTCAACAGACGCCCTGGGCTATTCGCGCACGCTCCTTAAAACCTCGCCTAAACCACTTCACTTCCAGCCCGTCGCTCGCTTCACGATGAGTGTTACAAGCGCTGCTAACAAGTAAATGTCGGGCATAGAGACCCTTAAAACTCGACTTTCTTTATAAGACTGCGTGCAGCGAGGTGGCATGCCGCTACTCTCTGTGATGAGCAGGGATATCCATCGTACCTTCAGCAGTTCAAATGGCACTGAATGAGCGAGTGTGTAATGGGATTTCCAGTCAGACAATCAATATCCGAGCTGCCCTGCAATGAGATCAGTGTCTATGAGAACGTCAACACAGGTCAATAATATAGTATGGATTTTACCTCATCAAACTATAATTCTGCTTACTGGAGCCATCTGTCTCTGTGGGCTTGATCTATCACTACTCTTCTTCTCGCTGCTTTTTTTGTTGTGCTATATTTTAAACAGGATTTTAAGGTCAGTACCAATATGCAGCAGACAACGTCTCTACACATTCACAGGTGCAATGAGTTCTTTTTGTTTTTTCCTCTGGTTCCTGGAGTTAAATGACTACATGTACCGGAAAATGATAGGGTTGAACATTAATAATGGATTCCTTGCAGGCGCTGAATTTCCAGGCACTGTTTGGGAAGCCAAACTGCCCCTCAGTTGTAGTAATACAAATCTTCCCACACTGACTATATTCATGCATAAAAAACTAAGTAAATTGGCCCCCAAAGTTATTCTTATTACTTATTGAATGTAATTCATTTAGCTCACAGGGCAGTAAAGCCCTGCGTGGAAAGTTAATAAAACACTTAATCCAAGGCCAGTATCTGTCCAATGTCTTAGCTTAGTTTTCTGTATTGTTCGCTTTCTCAAGGTAACTGTGCTCAGCGAGTCTTTGTATCTTTTGCACTCTCCACTGCTCTTGTTATTGATCAAAATGTGTCCTTTCTTTAATCCTCCACCTCCTGTTGTAAAAAAAAATTGTGCCAGTGGTGTCATAGAGGTGCAGTCGTATCTCAGCTGCGCTCTGATAAAGATGCGGCTATGAATAGACCCTCACACTGGGACATTTTGGAGCACGGGGTACAAACAGACAGAGAAGCTACAGCGAACGTTTGCTGTGGAGAGGTAAGAATTAAAAATAGATTTTTTTTCTTGCTTCATTCAGTACTTTTAATTCTGTGCGCATTCTGGCGAGTTTTCCAACACATCAGCATGCACCTTGGATCGCTGAACTCTGTTCTTGTTGGGTTGAAGTGTTCACTTTCATCGAGTGTGGAATTTCAGATCATCCGAAGCGGCCTGGGGGGGCGTTCAGATCCACGTACCGTTAAAATATAAATGCAATCAGCGTTTTGTCCACAAACAGTCGGCGCAGACATTAACTGTGAGAATGCACTGCAGATAAACAGGCTGCTAATGATGCGCACTGATAGACAGACACACCTCGTTCTCTACTTATTGCATTCAGAAGAGTTTCGGAAAACTTCACTGGAATACAAGGTCTAGATTTTCAGCAGATATAATTATGGTTAGGTGTCTGCCCAGCAGGGTGACGACAATACCCCATCACCCTTTTATGGCTGAGAGGTAAGAACAATCAAACTAATCCAAATTTGAAAAGATCGTAATCCGGTCTTTAAGTGATGACGTGATGAATCCTGCTTCCGGGCCCAAACTACTCTGCGTTTAATAAGGATGTTGTGTTTTTAACATGTTTTATTGCTTTGCATCTTGTTCTATTTAATCTACAAGCTCCTAAAAACAGTCAGTGATCACTGTCGGCCTCTCTCAGTTTTTATTACCACTGTTTATTTTAAAGCTCAGTTTTTAAAACTAACCTCGTATTGTGGATGGATTATCTCAGTTGTTCTCCTGACTGAAGTTTGGTCCGTTTACAGCATCCTGCTATGCGATTGCATTTGTCCCTAACCATCGGGAACCTTCACGTTAACTTTTATCGAGTGGAAAAAAGTTAGCGTTCATCCTCCAGCTTCACTGTGTTTATGCTATGCTAACATAGCTGTGTTGCTAGCGATCATGTAGCACATCATTATATACCAGCTAGCCCAACTTCAGTAACCCTACAAACGTCACTGCTGTTTAGTTTTCTGTCTTCATTTATGTTGGAAGTGATAGCAGAGCTGTACGTTTGAATTGTTTCAGAAATCTCTCAGTCAGATCATGCTATATTATATTTAGGTGGAAACTAGTGAGCTAACTTCCTGCTAACTTCTAACTCTGTTACATTTAATAAATTGTGTTTTCGTGGATGCCTGGATGTTAAACTTAATTCTTACACCTGGTAATGCAGCAACGCTGATCATTTTGTTACAGATGAAAAAATTTTGACAGTTTTTCAACTCTGTGGCAAAGATTGGGCCCAGACACGGCTAATGACGTCTGACTTAAAGACCAGGTGAAAATTAACAACAGTAAATATTTGAAGTTAAAAGACTGAGACCAACAATAGTCCAGTAAAATCTGTCCATTCCTAAACCTTTCGCTCTCTCTCTCTGATGGGTTTACTTTGGTTTTCGAGCCTAAACATGTTATCCTTCACTTGCATCCAGTGTTGCCAACTTTGTCGCCAAATTTTATCGAATTTTCAGACCCCTTAGCAACTTTTTTTTTTCTAAAAAGCGTCTAGCGACAAATCTGGCGCCTTTTTCTGGTATTATTGGAGACTTATTTATGACGACTTTTTGACGTGAAAGCGCGTATCGCTCTTACTCTCAACAAGCAGCGGTGCTGCCGTTGGCACCTTGCCCGTACCAAAGCGCTCACAGGCGGAGGATAGTCCTCCCCCAGCTGCTATCAGGGCAGAAGATGTTCACCTATGCGTCCAAACTGCAAATGAATCGCGCATGAGCGAAGCCGCTGCTCCCACACTGACTGTAACGCAGTCAGTACTTCTTTTACTGTTATGTTGTTTTGTGGATCACAAGGTTTAAAACTACTTATAAACACACACACACACACACACACACACACACACACACAAAGTAACTCCACCACAGTGCCTATATCGGGTCACTTTTGCCGGTCCAAGCCCGGATAGAGGATCAGGGTTGGAATTGTGACATTAAAAAAAACAATAATTGCTAAAAGAAATTTAATTTGTAGTTCTAAATAAATTCTAAATGCATTTAGGACGTTTTTTACTCCCTTTATGTCTCTTCCACGATGTTATTTTTTTCGTCTACAATGTTGGTTACAATTACATTAGCATGACCAATTATGCAAATTAGGCAATGACATCATTTAGCGACTTCTAGCGACTTTTAGGACAGCCAATAGCGATTTTCCTTACTGAGGAGTTGGCAACACTGCTTGCATCAACATCTCACTGCACCTCATTCTGAAATTTCCTGTGAACAGCTACAAAATACAACGTTTGGATTAACTTGTCATGGAATAACAAGGCAACAGAGCTCAATTGGTCATGAAACTGCTGTCAGTCAATTGTCCAATTACTTTAGAGTCTCTGAAAAACAGGGGACTGTGTATGTCTATAATTCCTCAACAGTTAATGCAATACTTTTGTTAAACCCCTTGAATTGAAGCTGAAAGCCTGTACTTCAGTCACATCTTGACTGTTTGATTTAAAACTCAATGCTGTGACATGCAAAGGCACAATTACAGAAACTGCATCATCATTTGCATTTTTGGACCCGAATTTAAATACAGGGTCAGTAAAGTAACATAAAACAAAGCCAGTGAGGATACGCGATACTGCCTCACATAGATGGTTTCTTTTATGCAGTGCTGGGTTGACCCACTTATCTTGGGCAGTGAGTTTTCCTTCAAAACAAAAAACTATAAACAAACAAAGAAAAAGACAAAGAACGCAAACATAAAAAGCCACAAAACAAACATACAAATACCGATCAGCAGTTTATTCTCTGTAGTGCTTTTAATAAATCATCCATCACTTTTGAGTTTTGCAGGAAAGATAAACATAAATAAAAATAAAATGTTATTTTTCAGAAGGACTGAGGGGACTCCGGCTGAGCCTGCTGGTTGAGGCGATGCAGGTTTTAATGGCCCATGTGAGGAGCTGGTTGAGTCCCAGTGAGAAGCAGGTTTAATGGCACTCGTGAGGGACAAAAAGCAGCTCAGGAACATTGTGCTGGCTTTGACTCTAAATGAATTTTAAATTACTTTGCGCACTTTTTTGCCTTGAGGAAATTTCATCATCAAAAAATAAAATAAAAAAATCAGCAGGCAAATTTCCCCTGTGATGGACCGAGTTCAGTGTCGGTCCCCAAAGTATTTGAACAATCATCCAGCTCTACAGGTGACAGCTGCCACTGCTGCCTTAAACAGCACGCTTTAATCTGAAAACTGTTAGCAATGTCGCTACAAAGGTGCACCTATATATCGTCTCCCTCCTGCTTGTGCTGTGTTCTCTCCTCCTTCACTTTCTGCAGGTATATGGAGAACTGCATGTCCTGTACTTATGATGCAACCTGTCGAGCATTTATTGTTGTATTTCTTGTCTCTCTAAGATCTTCTTTTCTGTCTGGTCTTTCTAAGCAGTCACGGCAGATGGCTGCCCTCCCAGAGTCTGCTTCTACCGGAGACGTCCTACTGTTAAAAGGTTCCTTCTGCTCATAGAGAATAGTTATGTCATAGAGGTTTCCATCTAAAATACTGAAAGGTATTTACCTTACTGTGAAAAGTGCCTTGGGATGACAATCATGGTGATTTAGTAATATATACATGTAATTGAAAGTTAATGATTTTGTGTTTTGGGCCAAGGTGCACTTTCAAGTCTTTCTCTTTGAACCTAAATGCCTTCAAGTCGAATTGAAATCATGTTAAGTAATTTTCCACCCTGAAACACTGTCACCATCATTGTATCTTTAATGGCTTTTTATAATATAAAAGCTCCTTTTCATCTCAGATGGCTGGAGGGACGTGTCTGCGTTTGATCCACAGATGCTGGCAGGCTGAGCCCCGGCAGGCAAACAAGAGCAGGTAAACAAACTAGCACTAAAGTCTACATGGAAATGTGCTGTTAACCGTGATATTGAAAAATGAGGGTTACACATGCATCTAACCAGCCAAAGATTAGAGTTGCAGGTAAATCACAATAATCAATTTTTATTGATTATTATTGTTATTTTTTTATTTATTGATCTCTGCAGGGAATCTCATCCTCTGTTTCCAGCTTCCAGGGACCGGCTCCAGGTGTAAGGCAGGAACAAGGACTGAATGATGGGAGAACTAGCCTGGCATGTTCTTTACAGCGGGGGAAACAAAGACCTAAGACTGAAACCATGAACCCTCCACAGCGTCCAGGGTTCATTGCCCACTCTCCATATCTGAATTCCATGAGCCTCATAGACTGCCCTTCCAGTACACATTGTATATATGACCCCACTGCACTACAAGCTTGTTTGTTCTAATTTACATGCCCCAACCTCGCTCCCTCTTTCAAATCATTCACCTCCCATTAGTACACGGTGTTCTGTCTGGTTCTGGAGCTGCACCAGTCCCCTCTGACTCCTTCCTCAAACCACAGCTTACACCATCTGCCATTGTGTGCTAGAAATGCTGTCAATTTCTTGGTCCTGTCCCAGATACATCTGGCTAATAAGCATTCTGTAGTGACGCATGCTGGTTTGATTGAAGTTTGCTCAAAGTGAAAAGAAACCAAACCATCAACTGATTTTGGAACAGAGAAATTAAAGTATATGTGTGAAAATGCATTTAAATGCCATTTAAGGCATTTTTATCTGACATCAGCTGATGACCTAAACAGCTTGTTTTTGTTCGATGGCTTTCTCCAAAAGTTGTAGACCTAAAATGTTACTGCAAGCATAAATGAAGTTGATTGTTTCTCCTCTGGGAGACTTAAAATTTGGGACTCTCCACCAATAGTACTTCTTGGATGAAATGTCTTCAAGAAACCTAAAGAAGTCCAGATGCTTTTCTTTCCAAGCTCCTTAGACTACGCCCAAATGCGTGCACATGGAATTTGCTGCAAAGATCCCTAAAACACAGTCAAGACAACAAATATAAACTAATATGGATGAAACCCCCCCCCAAAACAGTTATCTTGTGACTGTGATGATTTATCTGTGAGGGCACATTTGGTGTTATGGTCTCTAAATAAAACGCCTCATCTAAATATAGTAAATCAAGCTGTAGATTATTGTGATATTTTTGCGAGTGTGTGTTTGTTTGTGGCTTTGAGTTTCAATATGTATTTACATGAAGCTGAATAATACTCAGTGTTCCTGCGTGAGGAGGTGGTAAGACAAAGGGTCATCAACACGCACCTTCAGCACAGACTGCAAGCTCTGCCAATGCATACATGAAACAGTGCAGCGAAGAACGTCTCTGTCACACTAATTAGCCTTAATTTACATCATTTAGATGGATCGGAAAATCCATCTCTACATGATTTAAGTAGGTGCTCGTGCTATTTCAGTGGGATATTCTATGGCATATAAAGACATATCTGGTGGTGCGTTCAATAAAAAGCAGTCCATGCTGTGTTTAGGGAAGATTAAGAGAGTCTGCATCTGTGCTGTCAGACCACTGCTGTGTGGGGCACTTAGACGATAGATTGGTTTATTATTTAAGACAAAATAACTATTTGGCTTTTGAGCATTGAGCAGTATTGTCTGATTATTTATCTATTTTTTTGTAAGCATACATTTGGTCTTGATGTTGCTATTTTATCCACACACGATGAAACTAGTGCACTGGAGCAGGAGCAACCTCCCAGCGTAAAACCATCTGCCCCCTTATACTGCTGCAAATGTCCTAGAACCAATCTGCTGTGGCCCAGTAAAGAGTTCAGTTTGAGTTTTGACATGGATTGAAGAATGTATTTTTGTGGCATGCTGTGAACATGGATTGGCTCTGTGTGTGAAAACAAAATAAATATTTATGAAACCGGTTCTCCAACCTTTTCTGGCTTTCCCCACCTCAGAATCTGAAGCTTTAGTCAATAATCAACACTGAATGTTGCTTAAATAAACATGAGTGTGACTGCACCACTAAATTCTGGCTTATTCATTTTCCCTAAACATCAAAAAACTCCACGACCCAGCACTGGGGCCCACACCACAGTCTGAAAACCGCTCATCTATGACAATAACACCACCTGACAATGATGAACAGATTCACCATAATACAAAAATATCACATTCAATGCTAAAAAATAGCCACTGGAGTTTAAAGAGGAACTCTTGACCTTTGGGACATACTTTGTGTACTTTCAGACTATGTTCATTTTATAATAAACACTTATTTTTAGCATGTGCATGGTATCACTTCTAAGCCTAAAACATACTGAAAATATTCAGAGAGTATTAAAAATAGGTATTCTAATAAAAAGTAATACAATTTGTACATTTACCATGCAGCAGCATGGTAATGGAAGTATTAACCCTACCATAGAACCAAGTCCACCAGAGCTTATATTATATTTTTACATGCCGTAGTGCCATTTTTGGGAGCATTTCAAGTAGATATACATCAATACAACCATTATAGCCCAAATTTTTATAATATGTCTGCATTAAGTGCATAGTAATTACATAAATTGCAAAAAAGTGCAATAAACTACAAACAAATTGAAAATCGTTTTTGTTTTTTTTACATATATTTCTAGTTAGAGAAATTTAAAGAGGCTTATCCCTCAAAACTGTAAATACAAAAAAGTTGCACAAAATAGTTTCCCACCACAGGAAATTTATTTTGAGCGTCTTCATAGTTTTATTTTTGAAATACACCAATTTTTATACACTGCAGGAAAAACGAAAATAAATATTATAATGCAAATTTGCAAAATAACAGCATATGCATCAAAATAAACTATTTCCAGCAGTGCAATATGAGTCCTAAGCATCCCAGAAACGACACAGAAAGTCATAAAGTCAAAGATAACTTTTAAAAACACCAGTATAGGCTCATGAGGCCCTGATGGTAAAAAACTACATTTCCGCGAAAACGACGTCACTTCCGGTTTTGGGCAGGTAATGGTGGACATGCGAAAGTTCGCTCTGACGTCTATTCCAACGTAGGAAGTGTTACAAACAGCTGATCGGATTGGCAAAGCGTGTTTCTGGAATATTATGTTTTTGTTGCTGCAAGTGCTTTTTATGCAGTTTTTGCAAAGCTATATGTGGAAGGAAACTGTGACTTAGGACAAGCTGATGGCATAAGATGTAAGTACAACTCCTCCAGTTTCATATGCAAAAAAAAATTATTGCGCTAGCTTACGTGGTTGCAGTGCTACCGGGATTTTAAAATAGTTACGCAAAACAGAGCATGCCCGCTCCGACTGGCTTTAAAGGGTTAATTAGTTCATATAAGACAGTGTAGCAAATTTAATACACAATAAAACCCCAAACTCTGATTCGAGTAAAGGACTTCATGTCCAGGTGGATTTTTATGGCTAGCAATGCATCTGTATAATAGTAACTCATTTCATTTGACAAGGATAAAACCAGAGTCCTCCTGAGGCAAATTGAATAGATTGCACTTAGTTGTCAAAGGCCCACATCTGTGTATCTAACACCCCACAATTCACAGTGGATGTCAAAACAAGCGCCAAGCCATAAATTCATGGAAACTCATCTGTGATTTTTTTAAAAAGGGGAAAGAAGTAGATCTGAGGAGTGCTGGAGTGTTTCAGAGAAAAGGGAATTTGGAACCACCAGGACTTTTCCGAGAGTTGGTTGTTCAGCCAAAAGTAACTGACTCAGTAGCAGTCCTTCAATCAGACACTTAGAGTAGAGTGGCTAGATGGAAGCCACTCCTGAGTAAAAGACACACGACAGCTCGCCTAAAGTTTGCCAGACTGCATTTAAAGGACTCTGAAAGCATAAGAAAAAAAAAGTCTGATGAAACAAAAGGTCTGGTCTGATGAGAAAAAAATTGAACGCTTCGGGCAGAACTCCAGGTACTCAACATTCGCGTTCCAGCCAGCCACAGCAAAACACCATTATTAAGCCTCCAGACGACACTACAGTGGTTGGACTGAGTCTCCCTACAGGGTGGAGGTCTGTAAACTAACAGCATGGTGCTGCTACTACAGCCTGGTACTCAACCCCTCAGAACATCAGAGGGCAAGATCAGGAACCCATTCCATTATTCATCGACAGATACAGAGCGGATCGAGCACCCAGCTTTAAGTTCGCAGGAAGCCAGAGTATCACCTCAGGTGAAAAAGGCAGAGGAGGGTCTAATTCCCAAGAATGCTCAGCAGCTCCTCTGCTGTATCATAGAAAAATAAAAACACATTAAAGCATTTCTGTAGAGCTCTAATGGCAGCTAACAGATTCTTCCAATCTAATATAAAGAACTTGAAAGGATCTGCCAAGAAAAAAATGGCAAAAGCAGCCTAATTTAAGAGAGTTTCAAATGACCTGAAGCTGCATGTGCTTCCCTGGGATTTCTACAAACCTCTGAGAGAAGGGTGTAAACAATAAACGATAAACTTCAGTTTTTAAGATTTGTTTTAAAAACAATACTCAGTTATGGAGTCTTAGCCCCGAACCGAGCACGTGTCTCAGACCTGCTGCTATCATCCACAGACGTCTGTATTGTTCATTAGTATATTTGTCATAGTAGCTGCTGTATTGCTGATTGGCTAATAGAATTAAATGTATGTTGGTATCACTACAACTACGACTGTGTAAACACAGTCGCCCCCTGCTGGCCAGCGGAAAGAATGCAGATTTAAGGCACTGGTTTTTTCAGAGCTGGAAGCAATGTCCAAATAAAAATACAAATTTACAGCAAAAATAAAGACGTTTAAAGGCAATTTTAAAAATAATAGAAAACGGGGTTTGATTAATTGTACTAACAGAGAAGACAGAAATTCAGTTAAATTCAATTTTATTTATATAGCGCCAAATCACAACAACAGTCGCCTCAAGGTGCTTTATACTGTAAGATAGACCCTACAATAACACATACAGAGAAAAACCAACAATCATATGACCCCCCATGAGCAAGCACTTTGGCAACAGTGGGAAGGAAAAACTCCCTTTTAACAGGAAGAAACCTCCGGCAGAACCAGGCTCTGAGTGTGACATTCTAGTCTTTAACTATTCTGTTACTTAGAGCTAATTATCATGTATATGCATCAGTGCGTTGCACCTGATTGCTAGTATTGGTTGATAAGTCCCTTCTGGTTCCACAAACAAAAACATGGTGGCAGCATGTCTGTGTAGATTCGCAATCATCCAAGTCACAGTAGTCCTGAAAACCTAAAAAGAAGGTAACTGAATTTCTTTAGATTAACATGGTGGAAAAAATGTAACGCTGAATCTTCCCAAGGTTTAAAGATAATAGCCATCATCGCTTTACAAACCATGCTGTCTATGTCCATCTTTTACATAGAGCCTACGTTATTGATGTTCTGACATGACTGTTTAAAAAAGATAAGTTTGCATTTGACTGCTTTTCTGTAGTCAAATGCAAACTTATCTATCTTTCGAATATTTATTGTTGTACAATCTACTGTACAATATAAAGCACCTTGAGGCGACTGTTGTTGTGATTTGGCGCTATATAAATAAAATTGAATTGAATTGAATGAATGAAACAGTAAAAGTAGCATTACTGTCGTTTACCCTGAGCAGCTCTTTGTTGCTATAAAAAGTCCTTTATGTTTTTTTTCCAAAGGAAAAAACTTGGAATGAGTTAAAGAGAAAAAGTGTTCAGAAAAACAAGCAAGTATTGGATGTCAGTGTCAAGCCAGCAATAATAAGCCAAGTTAATAATGCAATAACAACATAATCCTGAGAGAAAAACAGCTGCTGAAACACAACATGAGGGCATAGAGGTGCGTGCAAAGAAAGGATGATATCTACGCAAAGCTCCACGCACGTAAAAGCCCGAAGAAGCAAAAAGAATAAATTAATTTGCATTGCGCTGTGCAGAATCAGTATTCCAGCTACATGATACATTCAGAGGACTATGCCATTAATCATTAAAATACTCAAGAGATTGCCAGTTGGACTTTGACTCGGTTTGGAGCCGTGCTGACATTTCTGAACTAGAAACTTTGCTCTGAACTCAGAACCCCCGAGGAGCACCCCGGGGACTGACTGTGTCAGTGCTGCTGGTCTCTCAGTCCAATCAGTGGAGGAGAAACATGACTCCTCAAAGACTGCTCCATGGATGTTCAAGCTAAAAATATCATTTCAATGTTTTAATGACATCAGGAATCGTCCTAACATCTAGCCCTTGTGACCACATTAGGTTTTGCATTGTTCATGCAATGAGGTCATGCATTATTTCATCTTCATGAGGTTTTGCATGAATGTATCATTTCTTTCATGATGAAATCAGGCACAAAATCATGCATTTCCTTACATATAAATGATGCTAAAAATTCAAGTGGATTTACATCCATTATTTTTTTTTCCCACAGGTCATGATGAGTCACTGGTCTATTTTTCTACAGAGAGATGAACGAAGAAAAACCCAGCTGAAGTTTTAATAATGAAGCTGGTTTCCAGCTGGTAATCCAGCTGTTTATATCAAAATGACCTGATCTGTTTTTACTGTGATATAAAACAAATGATATTTACTTGAAATTTTAAGTTAATAAGTATTAGCAGATTTTTTTTTGTAAAATACTGACTTTCTGTACTCACATTTCCTTCATCATATGAATAGGTAACAATAACTTAAATAACTACTTGTAGAAGAGCATCTCTGAACGCACAGTACGCTGAACCGGATGGGTCAGAGAAGCAGGAGACCACACTGGATCCTGTCAGCTAACATGGGCTCACCAGAAACTAGACAACAGAAAATTAGCCTGGCCTGGTCTCAGCAGTCTTGATTTCTGCTGTGATATCAGGATAGTAGCAAATTTGGGATGTGGTAGAACAGGAGATTCACATCATGGATGTGCAGCTAACATGCTATCAAATC